GCATGTGTCATTGCTCTTGAGAATATAAGTTTTGCACTACGTTACAAAACAGTTTTTATGATATCTTAAGACATTTTCAGATACTTATCAGCCAGGACTGTCAATACTTCTTATTTCAGTTCCTCGCAGAGTCTACAAGAGATGTTCTTACATGTGAAACTACTTCAGATTAAAAAATAAATAAATAAATAAATATAGACACAATTTACGGGAAAGATGTGGAGAAATGATCTCAAAATAGAGTTCAAATTAAAAAAGTAGCTTTTCTAGCCTGAATTGTTGATGACTAAGTGATTACTAAGCTTCCACACATTGTAGTGTACAACTTATATCACGAGGCTTCAACATTATTCTTATAGTTACTAACTTGTGATATAACCTTGTTAATGCTATGCTGCTATGTTAATGTTATTAGTATAATTACAGCGAATATGAAATTCTAATGACATCATAAATCTAGTAGAAACTTATTCTGAGCTTTAGTAAGTGTTCAATGCAAATATAAGCCACAGACAGCCTACATTTTCTTTAGCAGAATCACATCCACAGGCTCAGAGTGATGTGGCAAATAAAGAGACAGTGGAGTACATTAAACCCCAAGTTTTTACTCAGGTATTCCAGCACGTGTGAGCTTTCAGATGTGATTTATAGATCGTCATTTATTTTCATTCCAGTTTCTGTCACATTCCCTAATGTTTATGCAGATTTTTCCACCAGCACAGAGGTTTGGTTTGGTTTTTTTTTTGTTTAAATGGAGGTCAGAAACATGAAATGTATTTGCCATTGTTGTGTCTGTTAAACTGCATGTGCACTAAAGAATAGCTAGAATGTTTATACATCTATATTTTACTCTAATAATAAATTTTATGTTTGAGCAAGCTTGTTTCTCTGTCTTTTGAATTAGGCATCTTCATTGAAGTATTTTCAGGCAGGAACACGATTTCTCCTGTGTTCTTTTAAAATCCCAGTTAGCCTAACTTAAAAAAACTACTGACCTGTAAAACAAATTATTGACATGATTTCATCTTGTGTCTTCGTCCCTGTGATGATTTGCAGGTGCACTCCAGAGACCAGAGCAGAGGTACTCCCAGGACAGACAGAGGGAGCTGTATCTCCAGTTTTCCTCTTTAAAGAAGACACCTATAAACAAGCTGTCAGGTTTTAAATTTGCAACCATACAAATAAATTGAAAAAAACCCTCCTGCCCGGTTTTTTTCACCATTACAATCAATCAAATCGGGCTTGTAAAAGCAACAGGGAGAATTTGATTTGCCTAAAGGTAAAGGTACAATGAAAAAGTTTTAGTTTTTATAAACACAGCTACGTTGGCACAGCGAGAGATTCAGGCAACTGACCACTTGCTCTGTTTTTTCAGCTTTGATTTCCCATGAACAAATATTTGCCTTTAAATTATGTTTCTTTCCTAACTGCTCAACTTTACTGCTTATTTCTTACCTTTTAATTAAAACATATTTTTCTCTTCTATCTTCTATGGAGGCTGGGAAAGGTAAGAGGGTGAGAAGTTGCTCTATATTAATTTAAATTATTTGAAAGATTCACTGTAGCACTGCACTCCTAATTAATCCACAAAAGCCTGCTTTAATTCCAGTATAACTCCAGTGTAAAAAGGCCTCCCCCATTTGATTATATTTCTGAAAGACTTATAAATATAATCTCATACTTTTCTAACTTCCAGATTAGTTTTAAGCAAGTGCTTTATGAAAAAATAAATGCATGGATATAAAGACTGACTCCCATTCTCCACTGAATGCTGTTTTTAATCCAGGCATAAATGGCCCTAAACCTACTGAAGAGCTTTTTCTGGAGAAATTTTGAGGCATAAGAAAAATCAGGTCTGAACCCCTTCCCTACTCTTGCTGGAGGTAAAGATGTTAAGCAAGATGGGCAGCAATAAATTAACTTATGAGTTCATTACTTCTTTGTTTACTCATATTTGTCTCATTTTTCACCAGTGCTTTTGCACAGTGATACTCAAAACAGTGAGTCACGGCCGATTATTATTTAAAACAACTAAGTTATTTTAAAATTTAATCAAATCATCAACAATCTGCGTCTGAGGCTGCTTATTGAAATCATCCCACCCCTGCACATCACCTTTCCTGAGGGCAGAGCTCCCCTCCCTGTGCTGCTCACACTGTTTAGGAGCATAAACTACCCAATTAAAACCGTGTCTCCTCCAGTACAAAAAAAAAAAAAAAAAAAAAAAAAAAAAAAAAAAAAAAAAAAAAAAAAAAAAAAAAAAAAAAAAAAAAAAAAAAAAAAAAAAAAAAAAAAAAAAAAAAAAAAAAAAAAAAAAAAAAAAAAAAAAAAAAAAAAAAGAATAACATTAGAGCAATTACATGAATCATTTATAATCATAGAAACGCTACTCTAGAAAGCAGCATGCAAAAACATCTGACACAACACTTGCTGCTAGAAGAGCCACACTTGCTCCTGCTGTTCCCTGAAGTCAGCATTTTCCCTGTTAGGAATCCCCTCCTTCCAGCTTCCATCTATCAAATAAATACCTCCACACATTAAATACCTCCACGCATCTTTACAAACACTGATGGTTCAGACTGGGATTTTTTTTTTTTTCTTTCAAGTCAAGTGCCAATCTCAGCAGCTGTGCCCATAAAAGACTGTTGATAAAACACTCAACTGTAAGAGTCTAAAAAAAAAAAAACCAACACAACAACAAACCAAAACTGAAAGAGATATTAATTCCTTATATTACTTGCACTCTGAAACAATGAAACATAATTTTTCTTTAGGAAGCAATAGGGAAGTAATAATTGTCTCTAGGTCCTCATGGGCTATAAATGCAGACAATTGTGCCCAAACTGTAAAATTATGTTTTAAAAAAAGTACTTTATTTTTACCATAAATACTTTATTTACAGGACGAATGTGCGTAATTTTCAAATAATTATTCTATGCAAATCTTTTTACCAGGCGATTACTTCTGACAGTATATCAACCTTTTACTTCACTTGGATTAACTAATTAAATCCCCCTGTCTAGTAATTTAAATAGAAAGTATGTTTACAATGCATACAAATAGTCTTATAGCTGGTTCTTACCTTTCTTATACACCACCTGTGCCTTGAGAGCACGATTTGGTTTCCAGCAAGAGTAATTTTCCACCAGCTTTTTTTTTCCCCACCACCTCTTTCATAATTATTTATTTATTATAATTAATTTATTTATTATAATTTTTATTATGGGAAAAAAAACTGTTTAGTTTTAGTAACATTTCACTGAAGCTGAAGGTAAGAAAAAGCTGAGAGGAGCTGGATGGTCTTTGTCCCAAAGTGTGTTCCTGAACAACGCACAGCACAGCACTACAACTTTTCTTAGCCTGTGTTGGAGGCACAATTTTTCAAATCTGCAATTGAAACACACCTCAGTATGAAATCTCAACTAAAAATAACGTTAGCTATTTATATTTAATGTTTGGATGAAAAAAAAATGTCTATTTAGGGTACGGGCTGTTGTCTCAAAGATGACAACAGTAAGTAATATTATTTGAAGTGGAATGTTGTATTTAATATTTAATAGCATGTATAATGAAACCAGTGGGAAAATATTGAAATTTCAGGAGGGTATGAAACGCCCATCATCATTCAACTTCTATTTCAGATTAGTGATAGGTGTTATCAGCTCTACCATACATTATATGACTTGGCTTTAACAAGGAATTAAACAGTACTCAGCTATTTCAATATATTGCATATCACAGACAGTGAACCTAAATTTCAACTTGTTTGTGTCAATCTGACCCAAAAAAACTCCCGTAAAGTAACAATTTACACCGACATAAAGAGGATGCTTGACGAAACTCAAGTCCAAAATGATCCAGTCAGTTATCTTTCAGAAGCTAGTGTAGTAGCCATTTAGCTGAGTCAGAAATTGCACTTTCTTATTCTACCAACCAAGTTTCAGACTCACCACAAATGAAATCCTGGTACCAATTTGATTATTCAAATTAAGACGTTTTCCTGAAGAAGTCAGAGGTCAAAGAATTTGAAACATGTACTGTTTTCCTTTTAATTTTTAGCATATAAAACTAGCAAACCAATGGTATTATAAGAAAATATAAACCCAAAGCTAAATTTAATCTGTATTAACTTACTAAAAAAGAAATTATGTTACATGTTCTACTGCCTAGTATAGCACCCAAGTTGAAAGCTGGCGTTAAGAGTGAGCCTTTGCTAAGATAATTCAATACTTACCTAAGCAGAACTTCTTAATAAATGATCAACAGCAAAGAAGAATACTTCATAAGACCCACAATAACCCCCCTTTTTTTGATAAGTTAGTTATAATTCTATCAGCACCCAAAAGTTGTACTGGATCTACGCACAGAAGTAATGGTTACAGGAAGAAATTCAGATGGTCAAATTTGGCTGCTTGATTGTGGTGTCCAAGTGCCAACAGTGGTCTTCTAAGCATCTTTTTTTTTTTCCCCCAAGATAAATTTGTTATTTAGAACTCTTTAATCATTAAACAACCAGGTGATCACTCAGGAAAGCCCATTTACAAATTCCTGGATGGAAAATGGCATCTTGATATCACTTTATTTCAGAACTAGCTCCTGTCCCATAGGCATTCATGCAACAAGTCAGTTAGGATACAGAGACACATATATCATGAATTCTCAGCTTACTTTAAGCTTGCCCTAGACTGAACCAGACATCTGAATTAGGTGTGAGAAACCCACCCCCACAAAAATGTGTCTGTCTCAATCAGCTACTGAATTTAGACAGTTAATGCTGGGGGTCTGAATATAATCTAAAGGGAATACTACAAATACATCCAACCTAAAATTTTTACAAACTTCATGTTTGATGCTTTTTTAAAAAAATATGTTTATTTTTTCTCTAATTAGTGACATCCACTTATATCCATTTATTTTGTGTTTTGATGCTCTGTACTACATCCCGATTAAAAAGAACACAAAGGTACGAAAGAAATGTTTTCTGACAGCCTTCATTTTATTTTTTCAGTTTGATACTACCTGTCCAGGTAGCCTTCTAGAAAACAAAATTAAAGGAAATTATACAATTATCTAATCATATGTTTTGTTTTAGACTTTAATGGCAGCTCTTAGCTTGGCCGACCTTCCTCTTGGGTTTGTTTCAATATCCTTGGACTGGGGTGTGAGAACTTTTTTCTGTATAAGAATCCACTTGGAGTTGGATTTTCCATGGGGAGATTCTTGTGTATCCTCTTTTTTGGAGGGGTTTTTCAGACCCTGTCTTATCTTCTGCCTCGAGCTAAGATTGTGCTTTTCTGCCATGTCTATCCCATGAAAAAAACGTTTGATAATCCGATCTTCCAGCGAATGAAAGGAGAGGGCTACAAGGCGGCCTCCAGGTTTTAGAAACTTCTCAGCTGTCTTCAGTCCTGTGAAGAGCTCATGGAGCTCATCATTGACAAATATTCGCAGGCCTTGGAAAGTTTTGGTGGCAACATGGGCGGGTCTCTGAAGCAAATCCTTCCGTGCATACAGTGCTGATGGTGGAAAAGCACCTGCCATAAATTTTAAAAGGTAGATGTTAGTATCTATATTATTTCTACATCTTGGCATTAATGCACTTGACATTAATCCACTCATGCATGATGACTCGAAACAAAAGCACACTTTAAACAGAACTCTGAGCAGCAGTGAGCTCCCTTCTTTGTGATATGCATTTGTTTTCTACTTAGAATTCACATCTCTGAATGCAAACCCCATTAAAATATGCTGGCTTATGTTAAAGTGTTGGGGTTTTTTTCCCTATAATCTTTTATAGAAGTTGCCTCTCCAAATGCAGTCACAACCTGGCTGAAACTAAGATAAGCAAGAAAAAAAACAAGATGGGTTAAGTAAGTCTCCCCTTACAGCTCAGTGCAATCAATGTCAGTTCAGTATTTGTGGTTGTGTCACGCTTTTAAGGAAAAGAAAAATTAATACACGATGGACTCAATTTTAACTGTTGCCTTCTAGATAATCATGCATTTCTTCACAGCAGAGATAAGTGAAGACAATGTCTACCTGGTGATAATGAATTACCTAAAGCTTATAAGAGGTATCCTTGCTTGGGAATAATAATTATTGACCACTACTCCTGTGTTTCTTCAAATGTTCACAAAAATACCTTGAGAACTTTAGCAAATGCAGCTGACACTGTTGCATTTTCACATGCCTATTGAGCAGAATGTGTCAACAAGGTATGGATTTGTCAGATGAAAAATCACCAGATTAAATATTTTTTTATTAGATGCACAAAACTCCGTCTTCCTTTCCCCAAAACTCTTATGAGTTAAACAAGTCTCTTGTAGAGACTGAAATTTTAATAGAAACTTTAATATACCACTATTCAATATATTTTAGGCTTGAACTTTCATTACATGAGTGCAGAGGAAAATAGCTAGAGAAACCTGAGTTGATGGATCAGAGAGAGTGAAGTGCAAGGATCTTATAAGACCTGCAAAAGCTGAGTAAATTTATCATCTATTATGTAAGTGAGCCCAGGAGTCTGATAAACTGAATGAACAATGCTAGTACAAAAGTGAAAGAATTATTTTTCCAAACAAAAGGGCCCATTAAAGACAAGGCAATACAGCTGGTATATATATGTATTAAATTTCATGTCAGTGCCAAGCTACAACATAGAGAAGCAAGAAAATGCAGTTCATAATCAAGTAATTGATATTCTACATGGTGTCTACTAGTTGTCTAAATTCACATTTACACAGGTGATCGAAAAAAATTAATAGAGATATCCTAATCCAATATGTTGGCACAAAGTAATTTATTAGTTTTAGTTTAATTTATTTGGTTTTAAAGGTAAGGTTTTAGTGATGTCAGAAGGCACAAGCATTTGGTATCACAAGCACACAAGTGATCTTAGTGCTCAGCAAAGGGACAGGATAATAATGGGATTTAAAAGTTCAATCATTAACAAAGTTGTTATCATGCAGGCAATGTATCTAAGATATGTTTCTGCATACTTGATTTTCCCAACTACATTCCCAGCCTCATCTGACTTCAATGCTAACAGGTCCTAAATTCACTGAAATGTAGCTGTGGCTGCTTCCAGCTCTTATAGTCTGAATCCTTTGAGACAGAAAGTGGCAACAAGGCTCAACTCCTCCCAACATCCTACTGCATGGGAATTTGTGACTTTAAACTGTTTCACAAAACAGAGTAAATAGATGTCACCTGTGGGAGATGGGCTTCTCCATCATTTACAAACTCTGGAAAAGCTGCACTAGCTAGTTAATATAATTTCTGTCTTTGAGAACATAACCTTCTATATTTACTATAAATCACAAAATGAATATATACTCTCCTTGTAGCCCACAAAGCCCATTTTGACAAGAGAACTCAAAATCACAGAGAGTAAGGTGTCCCGAGAAACCAACTGACACCAAGCTTGCACTAACACTCAGTGTCTGCTTTCATATTTCTTTACAAACCTGTAAATGGGTTCTTTGAAAATGGAACCCTTAAAACATCCACTGACTGTCAGTTGTGTGTGATGAAAACTCTTTCTTAATGCATAACATAAAGGAACGCTGCGCTAAGCAAAATAGACACAACTTTCTTTAAAGGGTCAAATAACAACTACAAACACTGCTCAGACCCCCTGAACAATTACCACATGGAACAGCAAGGTTAAAAAGACCACTCCTGCCATGTTCAGCCTACAAAACCAGTTTTAACTTCAACAAAAAAGCGCTGTGACTTGAAGAGCATCAGTTTTATACATTCAGTTTTGGACTGATACCACCCAGAGCTGGTGTTCACCTCTCAAAGCAGATCCAGAATTTCTAACCACCATATTTTAGCAGTCTTAAGTATTTTCTAAAAATACTGCTGGTTTTCTGGGGATGATCCATTTCTGATATTCTAAGAGTATTTTAGCTTCCAAAAGCATCACAGATAAAAATGGAGCTAACCCACAAGAGAACAGCATGTCATTTAGGTACAGAACTGACAGTGCTTCTTGACTGGGACCTAACCACAAAAATGGAAACCCAGAATGAGATCCTCTGTTTAATATTTCCACAGTCAATCTCTCAGGAACTTTAGTCAAACACTGAGAGTTTTACCTCCTATGTCAGCAAAGCATCTTTTACTCACCTGGAAAACAAGAGTCATGTGAAGATCTACGACATCCTTGTCTCTAAACTGGAGAGACGCAGATTTGATGGACAGACCACTTGGTGGTATCCCACAACCTTACATGCCTCAGCTGAACCTGCACCAAGAGCACTGCAGGTCATATCTGTGACTGCAGGTCATATTCGGGAAATCGGTAAAGAAATGCAGTCACTTTGCAGCTTTGTGCAAAAAAATCCCTCAAGCTAAAAACAAAATCAAACTATTTACAAGTTCAAAGACTTGCTGGTCTGTCGTCAGAGACTGGGATTAACTAATAAATGTAACCTGTGGTAGTTGTTCCTGTCACTGTGGCCTTCATCTTTTTAGTAAAGGCAGTAGATTTTGATCTATGTTCCACGGGTGAAAAATCTTCCTCTCACTTTTACTCCTCTGGTATAGTCAAAAAAAGCCCCTATCTGTGCTTTCTGCTAAGGCATAATATCTGTCATCCAGCCCCCTCCAATCACCGAGACACTAAAAGAAAATCCTTCCTGGTAACTGGCTGTACAATGTACAAAAACACACACACAAAAAAAATCTGTATGGGAAGCTTGTAAAATGAATTTCATTCATAAAAACACCATGCTTCTGGCTAGATGACTGGCTTGAAATCCCAGTGAGAGAAATTATAATTTTTAGTTTTAGGATGCCCCGATGATACTTACACTTTTTAAAAATCTAATAGATTCACACGCTGAAATGCATTGAAATTTTAAAAGCTTGTGAATGAAATCAGCAACGTGCTGGGCCTGTCAATATGAACTATTAAAGCCCCCAGAGTGTATGAGAGTGGGAGAGTCTAAAAATTAATTCAGATCGTGCACCTGTTTGCAGGAATTCGTCTGCTGGATTAGCATTGCATTTAATAAGTTTCTGTGACGCAACCAACGTCCTTTTGTCTGGGCTCCCTCAGTACAGTGTTAATTCTCACCCATCTGAAATTCAGGCAGCATTACACGTTCCAAACCGATAATTAAAGTCTATAAATGTGAACCAGCCTGAATGAGATTGACTTTAAACATTTAAGTTCTTTTTAAACTTTTCGAATTTGTTTACTATCTCGTCGTGGATTCCTTTCGAGCTAAGGCCAAACGATGACATGATCTCAAAATGATCTTCTGATAGATTATGCACCTAAATAATGCTCAGAAAAATTAAATTTTGGACAAAAATTGACAGCTAACAAGGTATATTGCTTACCGAAAAGAAATCGAAACAGATCATCAGCTGTACAGAAAAAGCACATCAAAATTACACCCTAAAACTGCTTTTTTTCTTTAAAGTTTTTTTCTGCACAGGGAGTTAAACCTGTTGTTTTCAAATAACCCAGTGAGGTACAAGAGAAGACCTCAGCAAGCCCTTCATAATCAACTTCCACACATCGATTCGCCGCCCTTCGGGGGGAGAACTCCTGATCTTCAGCATTTACAGAGTGTTCAGCACTGCAGGTGGCTTCGTGGAAATTACAAACAGCGAGCGGAGCTCGACTGTGCTGCGGGAGAGATGCTGCTCACATGACTGAACAGGAAACTCCTCCTCTCTCACGTGTGAACTGCAGGCTCCACAGCTGGCAGAGATCTTATTTAAATGGATCAGCAGCCTTTTGGGCAACATTTAAAAAAATAAAAAAATAAATAAATAAAAAAAAGAAGCCAAATTTTTAATTAATTGTTTCAGGTCCTTATGCACTGGCATAGGATGTAGATAGAGAGAGAATTTTCAGGTGCTGCATCAAGATATAGAAAGAATTACTTTCTTGAATTGAAAAAAAAAAGGAGAGCGAGAAATCACTTGGATACCTGCGTTAGCCCCAAATTGCTGTGGTCAATCTTGACACACAAATCTATTTATATATTTTTCAAAGCTATACCTTAAAAATAGAACTCTTGCTAATGCAAACTTTTGAATTATCTGATTGCTCTGTGAATGTTGTGCAACTGTTTGGTATGGCTGGGGGTTTTTTTGTGGTTTTTTTTTTTTTTTTTTTTTTTTTTTTTTTTTTTTTTTTTTTTTTTTTTTAATTACATCCTTCACTTTTATCTCCCAATCAATTAGCAACAACAATACATATTCTAACCTTCTGGGGGCTGGAAGGAAAGACCACAAAAGTCTAGAATTCTATGAAAAAAACATTAAATTTTGCAATTTCAGATTAGTCCTAATCTAGATTCACTGTGATTCTGGTTATTAGCTGGACCTCAAGATGAAACTCGAGAGCTCTAGAGAATCTGAAGCCACAGCAATCAAAAACATGTGAAAGAAATATGGACAAAACATAAATGTCAGATTCTGACATCAGCAGAGAAAAAGAAATAAATAGCCAGCTTCACTGGATAGATTTTTTGCTTGTTTTCTGGTTCCTATGTAGGCAAAAATAATGACCCTGCTCTGGAAGACAATCAGGCTCGTAAAGAATCTGCAAAATCTAAAATGCAAGATTTTATTATTCTAATTAATATTTTATTTTTTTAAAGGACATGACATTTAACTAATAGGTCACAGATTTTATTCTGGTAAAGGCCTGAATTAGTCAGGATTATTTTGGGCTTTGCCACGAAGAGGTTCTTGTAGCTGGGGTCTCTGGCACTTTAGCTCTTTTTTATGTCAATAACTGAACTGTTATAATTTCACATAAGAATATATATGGATGATAGATGAAATGACTCAAAATGCATTACAGTTACCAAAAATTTTGTTAAGGTGTAATCAGTTCAAAACCAGCTACAACCACCACTGTTCTCCTTCTATGGATGAACCAAACTAAAATTGGAAGAAGTTCTATGCAAACAGGGATCAGTGTAACAGCCCTAAAATTACTATAACAACTTCCATACTCCACAAAAAAGGCAGACAAAGCATATACATTTATTGCCTTGGCAGATGTGTGCTGGATTCATTGTTTCTGGCATGTACACTCCCCGATGCACACATGACTAATGTATCAGGAAGCTCTTCAAATATAGCAGAGAATTTAAAATGAGAACAAAAAAATCCCTCTCATTGTCACAGAAAGTGACCATTAAGTGATGACTCACATGCAGCACATTAAACATGAAGGGACCTTCAATCACTGTCTTTTATATCCACTAGTTTCAGAAGTTACTGAGTTGCTTGTTTACAACATACAACATCTATAACACAGTGATGTGGTTGCTTCAACCTCAATAGTGGCACGCTGTCTTAATCAAGGGCTTTTCAAAAAGCTTGAGGTACGTATGATAGAGCCTGAAATTATTATTTTATGATGTTGATAATGATGATATTAAAAATGTAAGTTTTATAAAAGACTCATAGTGTTTTATCTCTTTCATTTTTTTAAAAATTGCTTGCTCCTTATATTTACTGTATTTACAGCAGGAGCTTACGACAGCAAGTGGTGTCCTTGGGTCCTTTTATCATATCAGCTAAACTTTGGGACTCAGTTGACTGGACATTTCTTTAAAGTATCCTGACTTCTACAAATCCAAACCTCTTAATTTGCTGGTCATTAAAAGTAAGTGCCTTTAACTTCCAGTTTAAATAATACTAATTTTTAAGAATACAGTAAATTTTTTAGGACTCTTCCGGATACTCAGATTTTACACTGTTCTTTAGCAAATGTTAAATTTGGATTGTCACTGTGAAGGTCTCCATTCAAAGTCAGCAGTTAAGACTTGTTTGTGATGAGATCCAGTAATTTTCATTAATTGGTTGAACAAATAAAAACATCCTGACATTACCCATTGGAGCGTTAATGAACGGGATTTGTGCCTTATATTTTTCCTCAAAAATTTTCACTTGAGAACACAAACGTGAGGGTTCTTGATGCAAGCACAGTTCCTGCCTAACTGCATTTTGTTCAAATTGTTTACAGTGAGGAGCAAGTAAGATGGAGTGTTTCAATAGTCGCTCCAGGCTGATCTAGTTGGCATGCACAAGGTGAAGCAAGCCATGTATTGCCTTGCTTTGTGCGTTCTGATCCTTTAAATAGACAGAAATCGCTTGATTTCACTCATAATTGGGAACTGCCTTGGTACCTCCCCTCGAAATATTAAAATGCAGAAATTTATAGCTGAAACAGGTGTGACACATCCGATATTTGAGGGTTTCTCAACAGCCAGGATCAAGAATACCCCAGGCTGCTGTCATTCTGTGGTTCAACTCCGCTGGCAAAATGACAAATCGCTTCGTGTAAAATCTATTATTAAACTAATTGTCCAACTACAATAAAAAAAAATAAAAAAAAAATAAAAAAAATTAAAAAAAAAGAAAGAGGGAGCTGACATCAGAGCAGAACAGGCAGGATTAGATCCCGCACGATTTCAAGTACAAATAGATCCCTCTGGGACCTGGGGGATTAATTTTTTTTTTTTTTCCGCCACAAAGAATTAACGAGGGGTACCTGCCACGATGCCTGCGAGCTGCTGCGTCCTGGTGATGGGGTACACGCTGCGCGCCTGGACGATGGCTGAGGCGATTTTCTTGGCGTGCCTCTCCTCCCCGTAGGCCCTGAGGATGGAGGCAAGCGCCTGTTGATCCAGAGCGTTCACCACGTCGGCGGCCGTGGGCATGGCGGGGCACCTACGCACAGGAGCAGCCAATTAGTGCGCTGACGTCAGCTCTCATTGACGAGGGGGTGAAGCTTCACAGCACCGAGACATAAAGTCAAACACACACACACTGCACACGAGTGCCTTTGAGGTTTTTTCAGATGGCAACCCTGTGGAAACAGCTTGCCCCTTTGAAATCCTTTTTCTTGCTGCTCTTGTTCCTTAACTTCAGCTGGAACAGCTTTGACTTCTAAGTATTATCATAAACTGCGCTTAATGAGGTGACAAGAATATTTCAGTGTCGTGCTAAGATGTGACCTTTTTCTTTAGCCGGCTTTAGGATTTAAACTTGCCCCTTCTGGGTCCATTTTAGTCACCTTGCATCCTGTGCTGTTTTCCAGTCAGAACCGATTTCAAGGATCTTTCACATCTCCTGCCATGAAAACAACTGCTAATGGAAATAATTAGATCTTACTTTTCACTAAAAGGCATAAGAATTTATATCCAAAGACTGTTCTAACAGAAATGACCTAATACAAATTACAGGAATTATTGCAATTTAAACAGTATAATCCTCACATCTATATATCGAAATCTCTTTAACTTTGCTACTGAAGTAGTTCCAAGGTATTTTATGAACATTATCTATGGGTTCACTGATCAGAGAAAACATACAAACTACTTAATAAATTCTCTTCTAAAAAGACATGAATTAGCAGACAATTTTTCAGGCATTTTTCACTCCCCTGCAGTATCTTACAAAAGATAACAAAACTTGGAGGCGAGTAGTATCATAGCAACAACCACAGCGTAAGGCTTTTGTTATGTCTCAGGTATCCTTTTTTTCTCATGCTCTTGCTCAGTGTATGTTTTCTCATGATGCCTCAGGTTTATATTTAAGCCTGGAGTTCAGACTCTTGAAATCTGAGGACTGAACCCCAGGAGGATCACGGGAGCATTTCGCACAAAACCAGAAAAAGCAAATATCATGAAATTTGCTGTGTTGAGACGTAATTCCTTAGGAATTGAGGCTTCCCATTGGCTCTCTGGGAGCAGTGAAAAAGCAAATGGCATTTCTTAAGACTCCAGGTCCACCAAAACACCAAGAAAAAAAACCTGTCACTCTCCCAGTATTGCTTCACGCAATAACAGCCATCATCTATACAAGGGAGACGTTTGGTTGCTCATGTAAAAATGCAAAATGCTTCAGGAATACATCAGGTTGTCTGAAGACGACAACCCCTGCGTAAGCAGAAGTTATCATTCCATCACCATCACTGATTTTCGTGTTCTTGAAAGTACTAAACACCAATCCAAATAATTTAAACACAGGTGGTTTATCCAATAATTGTTAATTTGGCAATTAAGTAAACCTGATGTGCCTCCAACACGATGTGAAAGGAAGCTCATGATTTTGCTAAGGGAAGCTTACAACAAATCATACTTGTGTGTTAAAAGCAACGTAGCAATCTGACTTAAAATGGCAGATAAAACAGATGGGATTTTATTTACTTATTTTATATTGCACTCCTTTTAGAGAGAAGCAACTGGGTCAGATGGTCACTGCACAAAAGAAGGACGTTGCCTCTTTCCTGAGGAAGCAACTGAAACTGCTCCAGTGGAGTTTCCAAAAACTGTGGCAAAAAAGGAAAGGGACTCCAGTAAGAAGTTGTGAGCCTGCAGATCAAGCACAGGCTGAGAAATGGTGGAAATAACAGGCCTCTGCAAGGGAGATGTCCCTGTGACTGTACACCACACACTCCAAAAATGTTAAAATTCAATGGTGCAGTTAACAAAAATGTTACTGGTTTAATTACTCATCATGGGAACTTTCCTCTTATTTCAAAGCAGGCAAAGATGATAACCAGGGCTGAGCACTGAGATGGACAAAAAGCTTTTTGGCAACAGAAAGAAAGCACACTTGTGCAAAATTAGATGTGGTTTGATGATGAGAATTCTTTAGTTTAAGGGGAAATGAAGCTCACAGGGGTTTCTGAGCAGACAGTTTTTGAGTTCCAGGAAGAAATACTGTATTCTCAGGTACCTGTCACTATCCATCCTCATGTCCAAAGGTCCATCCTTCTGCAGGGAAAAACCTCTCTCAGGTGTATCAAATTGCATGGAAGAACAGCCAGCATCCAGCAGAACTCCATCCAGAGTCCCTGGCTCGACCCCAGATGAGATTAACAAAGCCTCAGCCTGGCTGAACCGTCCTAGAAGAGGTTGGATCTGTTTTCTGTAAGAAAGTAACAAATTAATAGCCTTAATTTTAATTATAACACAGTCTCTCCCCCTTAAATAGTAGGTATTAGGTAATAGCCCTCAACTTGCCTCAGAAGCAATAGGGCTATTCTCAAAGCAATAGTTCATGTACTTTTCATATGTCAACACTGAAAACTGCTCCAAACCACCCCTCAGTGACTACTTACAGTTAGTTTAATTCTTTACTCCCTTCCTGCTTGATCTCAAAAAAACGGAAACCTGACTAAGATATAATTTTTTACAATATGCAGGAACTCAAAAGGACACCTTTCAGCAGCAACGCCCTGACCACCAAGGTACCTGCCCCGCTAAGCAAGGCCCTCAGTCAAGTGAGGACAAAATGCAAAAAGGGAAGGAATAGATCCTGGACCTAGAGAAGCAGACAGGATGGACTTCGATGAGCCTTGTGGGTACCTTCCAACTCGGGGACATTCTGTGATTCTATGATCTCTGAGGCGTCCAATGATTTCTCGGACTTTTGATTTTTGCTTGCATATAAGGTGACTTAAAATTACGTCGTTTATTTTACCTGTCTCTCAAAACCTCAGCGAATTAGATTTGAAAAGATTAGCCAACGCTGCTGCATTTTTAAGCAGTACCTACAAAATACAACATATTTTTGTCTCTACCAAGAAGCCACTGCTTCCAGTGGAGAGAAAATAGCTCCTTTAAAAGGAAGACACTGTAAGTCCAACCATATGGAAGAACATTCAGCCCCACAACATTCTCCTCGTTAGAGCAGAACAATCCACTTACTGAACGTAGCACAAAACCCAGGAAACAGTGTGAATGAACAAATTCCATGAGGGATATCACGATCACACACACGATTTTGAATTGATTACTCTCCAGCACGTAACTGAATACAGCTACTCATCTTAATAAGAACTGACAGTTCCTGAAAAGCACAATGATCCACTTAACATATTTAAACCAATTTAAGCTGTACAGTCATAGTTTTGAGAATGCATTTCCCCTCAATATAATGAGAGGAATTTTCCTGAAAATCTGCAGCACTTTTTCCAACTGGGCAGAGTTTCTAACTTTATGGCTCATCCAAATGAATGAGCTTTAAAATTCCATCTGTGGGACATGAAAACAAACGAGACCTAGAAAAAAAAAAAAGGTAAATTGCCATTGTCTGGTTCCCCAGTAGACAGTAATCCATGTCAGCAGCTCTGAACTAGTGTTCTACTGTGTTACCAACACATCTGAAAAATTATTCTGAACAATGTTTATTTATTGCTAGACATTTTATTACATCTCTTTATAATAGTCACAAGTACATGAATTAACTAAGATGTTTGGGGAAAGCTTTTCATCTGCGGCCTGCCAAACCTTTGTGATTACAAGAACTTAATTAAAAGAGAAGAATATTTGAAGCAAGTTGAAATTTCCTCTTTGGTGGAGAGAGATGCTTCAGCTGGAAAATGTTTTGGAGTTTGCAAACGTTTTGGAGACTGAAAAATAATGAAGGCTGACATTTTGATGTCAGACTCTCAGCTGTGTGAAATTACAGCTTCTGTATATAAGGTGTTTTTGTTATACACTGCACTGTGTGTGCCAATAGTGGATAAGGGCATCTTGGTGAATGTAAGTCCTTACTCAAACCAGATGCTTTTTATGAGTTTATAATGACTACATCACAACGTTCAGACCAGTTCTCTGAATTCCTGTTTCTCTGTGGAACAGAAGACACAATTTCAAGCATCTTGGCTATCCCATACACTTCAATTAATCAAGCCAAGTACACAGCTATGAAAGATTTATTACCTTATGAATGGAAATACAAATATTAATTCTTTTTTTGATAGGACAGTAACAATGATGATAATGATGAAAAGGACTAGTCTGTTAGATTATAAGCACAACACAATTATTTAAAGTAAAATATTTTACCAAGCATTCAGAATACTTATTGGAACATAATAAGTCTTCCCTAGCCTACCACTCTTCATGCCTATGTTCAAACAAAAACTGCCTCTTAAACATATGATTTTTCTCTAACAATTCTTAATTTAGCCTCAACTTCCTTTTGTCTTCAGGTTTTTATTTACATCATCTGTAAATTCACTTTCCAGAATAACCTCAAATAAATAATAAATGATGAACTGTTAAATAATAAACTACGTTGAAAAAAAAAATGTTTATTTCCTAGAGCCACACATCTTCTGTTCAACCCAGGTATGAAGAATTCCTCCCACTTCGTTTTTCCAGTGTTTTCTTTGGGCAATAGAAGATTTATGTTCCATGACCATACTTAACCCAGGGTGAAAAATCTATTATCCTCTCTGTCTTAATATATTGCAAAAGCAGAGCTTAGTGGGAAAAGCAGGAACATCCCTAAACACCAAATAAAACAGCCAAGCTTATAAGTTCAGAAAGGCCCGAGGAGGGAGACCATATCAAAACATTCCAGACCAGGACTGAATGGGGACTTTTCGACAATGAGCCACCCAGACAGCACATTTTAGGCAATCTTTGAAGGTTAAAAATCGAACCAAACCCAGTTGTCTTGCTTAAGAGAAAATATTCAAACAAACAAAATTTGCAGGGTTTAATATTTAATGACTTGAAGATACCTACGCAGAAATACAAGACAATTTCAGAGATTACGGTCTGAGGATGTAAAAAAGCAGAAAATACCTGCCATGTTACCTTTCATTTGGGGTGTGTCCCTATGGGGGTAATAGCATGGTAATTGTTTGATAAATTCCCAACTGCTACCGACAAGCAACCTCTAACTTCTCAAATTATTCAACATGCTCGCTCCCTCTTGATTCATCTTGACATTCTACAAGAAAAGATTATCCAAGGTTTCAAAAGAACACTGGGAACATGGACAGTACAGCCCATTTTAGGAAGAATAGAAAGTTATTTCAGCTGCTACATGTGTTGTTGGGGCCTTAATAGATTTTCTTGCACAGCAACTTCAAAAGCTTGCAGAATTCTTGGAAAATAACACAGTTGGAAAACAAACAGCATGTTGGGTTCAGGGCCCTTTGTTCAGGCCATAACACAGTATTTTATTATATTATACTATGACACATAGCATAGTAATTCTTCTAGACAGCACTCCATCCACACTTCTCAACTATATGAAAGAGCAGAATGAGAAAGAGCTCAAAGTCTCCTAAAGTATTTCAGGTTCTAAAGATTCCAGTTAATCTCTGTTTTTTACAGCCCTTTATAAAAATATTTATTTTTTTATTTTACTGAGTTGAGAGGGATAAACACGGGAAAAAATTAAAGCATGAACGTAGCTTCTACAAAATAAACAGAATCTTTTCTCTCATCTACTTCTCCATTGTCACAGACACTGATGTGACATCAATCATTCAAGTAATGTCACAGAAATGTATGATTGTGCTTTGATGGTGCTTCAGCAACTTTTTTTTTGTATGTACATATAATAATACTTGCTCTCGATCTTTCCACTCGCAAATTCTATGTATGAACACACAGAAAGTCACGATGATGACGTGTCAACGTGAAAACTGCCTTCTACTCAACCAGAATTAATGGTTTCTTTGAGGGAATTGAAAAAAAAAAAAAAAAAGTTCTTCAGCTCACTCCTGCCAGTGCACATCACACAAGGAGACCCACCTGGTGCTTTGATTCTCTGCTGAGACTCCATCAGGGGTGCCAAGAAGCACCAGATGTAACAAGGATGTTGGTGCAGCCCCGGTTTGGTGTCACTGACTCACCTCAGCTGTCAGAGAGCTGCGACTTCCACTCACAGCTGCACTGCTTCAGGCACACCCAGCAGCAAAATACCCAGTCCTCTGGTTTGTAAATCCCTGGAACTTTCAGCATCCTACCAGGAAATTGTTGGGAGTGCTATTCTGCCTCGGTGGAACACCCATCTCAAAAAAAAAATGTACCTGGGTATTCTGTAAGAAATTCTAAATTACCTTCTGTCAAATAGAAAACTGTCATGGGTTTTGTGCTTGCAAAGAGAAGAAGCAGAACCACAAACTGTAACGTCTATCAACTCATAAATGAACCCTGTCATTACATTCCTAGATTTATTAAAAAATTATTTAGAGATCTAAAAAAAAGGCTAACATTCAGTATCTTGTTCTCTGTTTCTTCCCTGGTAGTTTTTAGCACGCTCTTCTAACCACCAGTGAACACCAAGCATTAGGTTTTCAAAGAACCAGCCCAGTATTTCATCACTCACTGGTCAGCTCATAGCCTACATAACTAAACTTCCCATGGTTTTTGCCATTTCACTTTATACTTAACTATAGGACTTTTCACCTGCTGCTTTTGTAAGGTTCTGCAGTTCTTCAGAATGAGTCTTCGTTTTGGCTGTATTAGGTAACATAGCCTAATCAGCAATCAGCAGCAATTATGCCAGCAATTTACCGTCTTATTTAGATCATTTCTGAATAAATAAGCTGCGTGCCCTACCCACACACCCTTGTGGTACTTCACTGGTGAGCTCACTGATTTGAAATGAGATCAGTGGCCCCAATCACAGGGCAGAAAAACCTACACCAGAAGGATGTTTTGCTTCTACTACCCATTCTTTACACAATCTTACCTTGTTAAACCCCACTCGTCACTTCTGTATTTACAAACTGCGAAAATTTGTTTCACGTTAAAAAAAAATCACTCATAATCGAAATTAAATCTGTATTTGTTGCTCGTGACGTTGCAATCCATTCCTGGAAAGAAAGTAATGTGCTTAATCCTATTAAAGATTGTAGCACTTATACACATATTTACAAGGGAGAATTTTACCAGTTCATCAAATCAAAACCTCAAGAAAGGCATGATTTTCAAACACTGCATACGAAAAGTTAGGCACATCCCTTAAGATAACAGACCTGAGTTATACTGGCAAGCATTAAACTCTGAAAAACTACTGAAGTTACACAAAATAAGAGAATTTTAACAACTATAAGAATGCTGCTGATTTCATCTTGACCTTTTTTCTACTTTAAAAATTTCAATTTCAGAAAGCAA